GGAGTTAAACCGCAATTTTGAGGCTCAAGCACGCAAAAAGTCGAGAGCGGTGGCAATCGTGCAAGACCACCAGACGGCACGAAACAACCCAAATATGGCCGTGGGAATGTAAGTGCACTATCAAATCTACACATCTTTCCTTTTCAAACTCCAACGTTCTCCCCAACCCATACTTCTAATAGTAATTTAGACTCCAGCCCCAAATCTAAATCTAACGCTAGCCCGCTCTGTATCAATCTCATTGTTATTGAATATTCTAAAACATCAAAGTAAGCAACAAACCATTTCCTACTACAAATGCATTCTTATCTATCCTATATGTACTAGTTCAAGCTTCTTCTCATGTATGGATTGTCGCAAGTCGGGCATATTATAAAAAAATAAAATGAACTATTTTCTAAATCCTACCTATGTGTGTCTCAAACTACAACATTGATCTTCTTCATGGCATCTTTGAATCATGCAAGCAAACACCTTGATCTGAATTCCTTACCCTATCATAAAGAAATAAAACAAAACTAAATGCAAATACTAAATTTGCAAACATATCATAAACGTTAACAAACTTAACAAACTGCCACATTTTTGTTTCCTTCCACAAAATACAATAAAACAAGCATGTATACAAAGCACTAATTTTAAACTAACCTTAGTGTTTTTTTTTTTCAATCCACAACTGGAATTAAGAAAATCCCAAAAGTTGAACAAAAGCTCTAATTTTTATTTTTTATTTTCAATCAAAAGAAAACAAATTATTAATAAAACGTTAATCACTGTGTTGATACCCGAGTTGGGCCACTAAAAGAATTCATGGTTCGAGGACAAGGAACTGGGCGAAGACAACTCCAAAACCCGGGCCGGCGTCGAGTTATTCCAGAAGGCCGAGCTGATCAAGGAACAAAGTGGACGAGAATGATGAGCGGTGCAATCCTCGAGAACGGCACTCTGTCTAAGCACGAGATGACGCCGAGCTCCTCGTACGCCGAACAGAAAAGAAGAACCCCGAAGACCAGAAGGTGAAATAACGACAAAAGTCCGACCTGAACGTTTAGGTAAGATCGGCTCCTACATGGACGCAGGATCGGGAAATAATAAAATATTGTCACTTGTCAAGTGATGATTGCTGATGGGACATAATATCCTAGTCAGCCACCCGAGAGCATCTAGGTTAGTAGGGTGGTCTGTCAGCATTAAATGCACACATGTGGGACATTAATGCTAGGCAGGTAATTATTGGAAAACCTTATACTTCATTTAATGTATGTCAAAGCGGCGCGGACCTGTCATTCCAGATCACTGTGCGACAAAACAGGATGAACATTGCATGAATAGTACCAGATTAGAGCTGCTATAAATAGAATTTTACCTTCATTTATTAATGGTGGTTGTTCTCCTCACCAACTACTTTCTCTCCCAATCTGTAATAAATTCTCGTGAATATTTCAAGTGTAACGAAAGTGCTGACCTTAATTAAAAGGCCGATCTCGTAATTAAGTAATAAAAACCCATTCATTCTGTAAAATCATTTTCTCTTACCTAGTTTACTATTCATAAATCACTTATTAACGGTTGACTGATATCGATCGTCAACACACTGACATGTAAATCAAATCCAATATTCCATTTCTAATGAATGTAAAGATCCCCAATCATTTAAAAAAAAAAAACTTAAATTTTCTTTTCAATTCAAAGAACACTAATTTATGTAAAAAGCCCTTAATTCTTACATAAATCAAAACCTAAGTTCTATTTCCACAAAACATATAACCAAATCTCTTATTCTCAGTGTTCTAAAGTCTCTAGGCGCCCGCTAGGCGCTCGACCAGCGCCTAGCGCCTAGGGCACCTAGTCGGGGCCCAGAAATCAATATTAAATACCTTATTTTTTATTTATTTTAACTACCTACAAAATAAAACTATCTCAACTTATAATAAATTCACACACCAAAGTCCAAATAATAGTATTAATATATATTAAAGAAAACATGAGAACAAAATAATGTAATTAATATTTAAAAAAATAAAAAAATATATAAAAAAAAACTGAAAAATTATCGTCGAGCCCGCCTAGGAGCGCCTAGGTCCGCCTACGCCCGCCTAGACGCCGCCTAACCGCTTGGCCGCCGAGCACGCCAAGCCCGCCTAGGCGCCGCCTGACCGATTTTTTCTACCGATTTGTACAAATCGGAGGCGCCCGGGCACCGCCTAGCGCCTAGGTGCTACCTAGACGGTCGCCTAGGCCGATTTTTAGAACAGTGCTTATTCTAAAAAACATTCCATTTTGTTAATAAAAAAAAAAAAAAGCTTCATTCTGAATCAAAATCCTGATAAAATAAACTAACCTTACTTGTTGGCTTCACAGGAGGGGAAAAATGATTTTTTGGATGAAGATTTAGATTTAGAGCCCCTCATTTGTTGCAAGAGAGTTCTGTCGACTAGGATGACTATAAAATGACGGAGACCGTGATGAAACTTCACTATGACTGCGGCTCCAACAACGGCATAATGGAGTTTTTCTTTTTGAAGAAATTGAAAGGGAAATCCGACTAACTGTGCCAATTTTGGGCAAGTCCGACGACAGAGAAGCCCTTTCTCCCAGAGATGAAACATTGATGTGGGAGAGTGGTACGACCTTAAAGTCCTTTTCAAATTTTTAATTCTTTTTCAAATTTTTAATACTTTAATAATAATAGTATTATATTATATGTAGTTGACTTGAACAAACAAATGGGAATAGGGAGTGCAAAGAAAAAACCAAAAAGTAGGGACTGAACGTGAAAAAGGATTAGTGATTAGGGAGTTATGTGTAAAAAAGTCGAAATAATAATTCATAATTGATACGTCACTTTAAGTCACAAATGAATTTGAATACCTTACATCTCGAACGGTCCTTTTTTTTAGCTCTGATGACCTACAATACGCTGGGATGGGGTCCCAACAGAAAACTCTCTTACGCTCAAGTCAGAATTCACTCAAACTGTATTGATAAAAGTATATGAATAAAGCGTAGAATGTGTATTATTGATGAAAAGGAACTTGTCGCCCTTATGTGGGGCTGATACCTTGGGGCTCAAGAGAGTTTTTGTTAGGGAAGAGATCCAACCAAATTCTACTTTCCTAACTTACCATTTCTCTATCTTGGCAAGAGTCCTTGAGCAAGTGATTCTTTAATTCTTACTAGGATTCTTTTCCTTTTTACTGTTTTAGTCTATGGGTCCTTAGGTCATGACTCTAATCTTCAGAGCGATCTGTTGTGGCCTTTCTGAGAACATACCTGACTTTGTCTTAAGGTCTCGCCCGACCTCATTAAATGGTTTAATTAATAAGTTAAGTCAAGATTATCTTCAATAATTTTCTAGTACATTAATATATTAAATAAATGCTTAATTTGTAGATTAAGAAGAGTCGAGCCCTCAGAAGAATCACAAGCATTTCATTCATCGGCATCCGCATAAGGTGGGGGTTTCATACTTTGCGTTAATTCTCTATAATCGCAAGGTATTATGGTAAAGGTATGTTTATGAGTATTTCGCCTGAGCGTGAGTACCATTTACAGCATGTGTGCACACACGAGATAAATTCAGTTGTGGTTGGGCCGTAAATATAGCCGAAGGGTCCATCAGCGCGACCCGTTCGGTCCATCAGCACGACAGTTTGGTCCATCAGCGCGACCAGTTTATTCATGTTCATGCTAATATTATCGTATATGTTATTATGATAAATTCATGCAGTATGATATCTCCACTGAGCATAGTGGTTTTGCTCACCCCTTATCATTTTTCAGGTTGATCGAGTTGGTGGCGAGCATGAATGGTGAGGGTGGTCTATATGATATTATTTATGCTTTCGGTAGAACTTTTACAATTCATGTTGTTTAGTTGTATATGAGAACTTGTTTTGAAACTCGGTTTGAGACCCCTTCAGTTGTTTTCGAAACATTTAAGTTATGCATGACCGATTATGTTAAGCAGTAGAAAAGTTAGTAGCTACTCAGTTAAGACAACATATGGGATCAGCTTTCCCATATAGTAACTTAAGTTAGCGTCTTCATTTATGTTTTAAAGAAGAAAAACAGTTTTAATAAGGAAAGCAAAAGTTTTGAGTAAGTATCCTAAGAAAAGTTTTTAAAAGTTCAGCATGAATGTGAAAACTTAGTGAGAAAAACGTTAGTCCCTTATAGCCGGTAAAAGACTGGAGTTTTCCCACAGACGGCGCCAATTTGTTACGTCACTTTAAGTCATGAATGGATTTGAACACCTTACACCTTGAACGGTCCTCTACCTTGAGCTCCGATGACTTGCAATACGTTGGGAAGAGGCCCTGACGAAAAACTATCCGACGCTCAAGTCAGAACTCGCTCAAACTGTATAGATAAAAGTATATGCATAAAGCGTAGGCTGTGTGTTATTGATAAAGGGAACCTATCACCCTTATATAGGGTTGATACCTTGGGGCCGAAGAAATTTTTTTTATGGAAAATATCGAACTAGATTCTACTTCTCTGACTTACCACGTCTCTATCTTGGCAAGAGTCGTTGAGCGAGTGATTCTTTACTTCTTACTATGATTTTTTCTCCCTTTACTATTTTAGCCCATGGGTCCTTAGGTCATGACTCTGACCGATCTGTTGTGGCCTTTTCGAGAATATACCTTATCTTGAGGTCTAGCCTAACCTCATCCTTAGGTCTATCTTGTCCTCAAACCACCCGACCTCGATACCTCGAAGTTGGTTAATTTGCCGGGCTCTTGGAGATCGGCACCTTCAGGTCGTGTCTTTTTTGATAGCTCAGTACCTTATGTTCATATTCGAGCTACTTGACTGAGGTTCTTACTTTTGTATATATGAAATTCTCCCAGCCCGGCATTAACCGAGCTACTGCTCATACTGTTATGCCGAGTTGCTTTTGAATGCCATATAAATAATTGTATGTAAAATAAAAAAATAATAATTTTTATCGAACAATGTGCAGTAATGATAAATCGTACTTGAAAATAAATATAAAAATAAAAGAAATAAATAATATTTTTGGTCAGAGCAACATCAAATGCACGCCATGATCCACGGTGGTTTACCCTAAAAATTCCGCGAGTACAGGTTGTTGTAAAATCGAAATTGGCCTTCTCAACTGTCCAAATGACTTTCTAGTTTCTAGGGAAAGAACTTGTGTAGCACAACCCTTTAAGACCTCTCACACCCCCACCCTCCGACATTTCACCGTATATCTTTGAGTAATCACACAGCTGCCTCACTCATTATCTTTCTTCATATCTTATTTTGTTTGCTTTTACACACCCATGGCCGACGCCGACCTCAAAATCGACGGCAACACCCTGGCGGCCATGTGCCTCGCCCGTGCCGGCGTCGACAAGATGTTCGGGGTCGTGGGCATCCCCGTCACCTCCCTCGCCAACCGGGCCGTGGCCCTCGGCATCCGCTTCTTCGCCTTCCACAACGAGCAGTCCGCCGGCTACGCGGCCTCCGCCTACGGCTACCTCACGCGCCGCCCCGGCGTCCTCCTCACCGTCTCCGGCCCCGGCTGCGTCCACGGTCTCGCCGGACTATCCAACGCCGCCGCCAACGCCTGGCCTATGGTCATGATCTCCGGCTCCTCGGACCAGAGCCTTGCCGGCCGCGGGGACTTTCAGGAGCTCGATCAGATCGCTGCCGTCAAACCCTTTTCCAAATTCTCCGCCAGAGCCACCGACATAACCCGGATCCCCGAATCCGTCTTCAGCGTGGTCGATTGGGCCCTTGCTGGGCGCCCCGGAGGGACGTACTTGGACCTCCCCTCCGACGTCCTCCATCAAACCCTAGACGAGGCCGAGGCCCAGAGACTGATAACCCAAGCCTTCAATTCCAGAAACAAAGATCTAATGGAGAAGCCGAAAATAAATCATTCCCAAATCCAGAAGGCCGTGGAGTTACTGAGAACTGCGGAGCGGCCTCTCATTGTTTTTGGAAAAGGGGCTGCCTATGCGAGGGCTGAAAATGAGCTGACGAAACTAGTGGAGACCACTGGAATTCCTTTCCTTCCCACGCCAATGGGGAAAGGGCTAATCCCCGACACACACGAGCTGGCTGCCACGGCCGCACGGTCGCTCGCCATTGGCAAATGTGATGTGGCCTTAGTGGTTGGGGCCCGCCTCAACTGGCTCCTGCATTTTGGGGAGTCCCCAAAGTGGTCCGAGGACGTGAAATTCATACTCGTAGATATATCGGAGGATGAAATCAAGCTGAGAAAGCCGTTTTCAGGCATAGTGGGTGATGCGAAAGACGTTGTTGGAGTAATGCATAAGGAGATAAAGGATAATCCCTTTTGTTTTGGGAAAACTCATCCTTGGGTGGAGTCTGTGAGGAACAAGGCAAAGGATAACATGACCAAAATGGAGGTCCAGCTGGCAAGAGATGTGGTCCCTTTCAATTTCTTGACGCCCATGAGGATCATCAGGGATGCGGTCCTGGGTGTGGGCCAGCCGGCCCCTGTTTTGGTCTCGGAAGGGGCCAACACGATGGACGTGGGACGAGGGGTGCTCGTTCAGACGGAGCCTAGAACGAGGCTGGATGCCGGGACTTGGGGGACGATGGGTGTCGGGCTTGGCTACTGCATTGCTGCTGCTGTGGCATCGCCTGATAGACTCGTGGTGGCAGTTGAAGGTGACTCCGGATTTGGGTTCAGTGCCATGGAAGTTGAGGTAGCTGTTGTTTGTTGTTTAATTATTGTTTATTTGATTTTAGCTTATAACATTTATTCAGAGATCATGCTAATATTTATTGTTTATGCTGTATTTTTGAAACCGCTCCAAGTTCAAAACCATATTGTTCATTTCTGTGCACTTTTTTATGGCCTACACTAGTTAATCTGGTTAGGAAGGACGGCGCCCTTACATTTTTTCAATGTAAATGCATATTTTGGCCTCCGTTGGACTAATGGCATCGGTGTTAATATTGGCCTTGCCAAATGATATATGTTCATTCGGTTTTGCTATGGAGCCATCCATAGTTATTCACAAATAGTGTATTGACACGTGTCCTGCAATAAATACATATTGGACACATTCCCGGAGCCATCAGATGGCTCCATAGAATTTCTGAATGTTCATTTATGGAAACCTTGTTGGCTGTGGCATGTAGATTTATGTCTTGGACACCTCATTGGCACTTTAGCAACAAAGATTTGTCATCACTTTTGTTTTTAATAAATGCTAGAAGGCATTGAGTGGATCATTAGGCGTACGTGCAGATGAGAGACATATTTCCTAAGTTCAGATGTAATAATGCTGAAACAGATCAAACAAAATGCTTCTTAGTGTTGTTTTTCGGCATGGTTATAATAGGTGTGGATGTCTAGCAATGAAATATATACAAGTCTTAGGTTTCGCTGTGCGTATCTCAAGATTTACTTTTCCTCTTCATAGTCCCCTCGTTAGTGTCACATATGCCCCAAAAATAATGAAATGATCATACTTTTCTAGTGAAACCTCATTATAAGTATGAATGTCTTGTGTAAAAATGCATTGTGTTTCTATTACTAAGATCCATATCTAAATTTCGTCGTCCTCCCTTTCCTGTCAGTCCTCCTTCAGTGCTTTCTTTTAGTTTTCTTTTTTGGTTAACTATATGTACGTATGTATTATTGGTTTTTGTAGACTCTAGTTCGATATCAGTTGCCAGTGGTAGTCATAGTCTTCAACAATGGCGGGGTGTATGGTGGTGATAGGAGAAACCCTGAAGAAATGAGCGGGCCATATAAACACGATCCTGCACCCACGTCCTTTGTGGCTGGAGCATCCTATCACCTTCTTATTGAAGCTTTTGGTGGGAAAGGCTACCTTGCTTCAACTCCCGATGACCTCAAATCTGCACTCCAACAATCTTTCTCCGCAAGGAAGCCCACCGTCATAAATGTGACTATTGATCCATATGCTGGGGCAGAGAGCGGTAGGCTGCAGCACAAAAACTGAGCCTGCCATGTAATCAAATGTACAACACAATCTGGGGTAAAGCAGATAATGAATTACCAAATGAAGTAATAAGCTTTATGTTTGCGACATTACGAAATGTTTGGTATGTAATATGTTGATCGGACCGGACCATCTATTGTAGCTATTTCTGTGGGTTTGGATGCTGATGGTGATGATTAAGTTCCACGGTAATAAGGTCAGACGAGTGTACTTTTATGAAGGCCAAATGTGCTCCATGTGATGTTCTCTGTAAAGTGCAATAAGATTATACTTTCTTTATAATAAATACTTGTACGATATTTATGAAACGGGGTTGAAAAAAAATGTATAATAAAAAATTAAATATAAAAGTATATTTATATTTTTGTACGATTATAAAATTATATGTTCAATAAATAATTAATAACTAATAAAGTGGTAATTATTTAAAATGATACATTAACTAGTTTTTGTCCCGTGCATTTGCACGGAAAACTATATGATACATGAAAAAATAATAAAAATTATATACAATAGTAAAAATCATAACAAAATCATTGAAAAAAATTAAGAAAAAAAAAATATAAATATTTTTAAACACTTCTTTATAAAACAACGTCGTGGTTTTTTTATCGTCGAAATCTCCCTCAGCTCAAATCAAAATCTTCAAACCCCACTGACTTGTAATTCTAAAAGCGCCACGTATAATTGTTCATGACTAAATGCAGAACTCTTCAGTAGTAAGCCGACGTGCGACAGAGACTGTCTTTGACTCTTATTGATCATGTCATAGCATAAGAAATACTTCTTTATATTGTTTGTCCTTGACTCTTATTGATTGATAGAGATTGTCCTTGCTTCTTAATAAAAAAAAAATACCATCTAAATATAAATGAATAAATATAATATTAATTTTTTATATAAATAAAAAATTTAAAGTAATTGATAATGAGTATAGAATTACTCTTGCGGATTCAAGTTATTTCAACGATGTTCTTTTTATATATCTAAGATTTAATTTTTTTTTCTGATTTATATGAATATAAGTACATTTAACTAATTTTTATAAAATTTATTGAAAAAAGTTACTATTTTTTTAAAAAACTGATAAGATATTAAGATAATACTATACTTAACATAAATGTGAGATTAATTAAAATAAATCTTTTTAATTTAGTCATTAACTAATTAAATTTAACTATAAAAAACCTTCTTAAATATGAGATTAATGAATAATTAATTAAAAAAATGTAACTTATTTTGGAGGGAAAGTAAAAATATTTTTATTAAATGTTTTATTAAATGAGATTAGCTAGCAATTATATATATATAGATAACTAATATAGTGGTAATTCTTTACTACGAAATTGTCAAAACCAATAATCGTTTGTTACATTTATAATATTATATATGTTTCAACATAAATATTATTTACAATTTTACTAATTTAATTTAAAACTTTTTAAAATTCTTTGTGAATATGATTATATTATAATTATGATCTACATTAATTGAGTTTCACTCTCATCTATTATTTATTCAAATATAATATATACATGTATAGAGATAAGTTAAAATACCAAAATAAAGCTTGCAGTTGTTATTTGCTTATGTTAATCTAATTATTTTTATATTTCCCTCTTACATATAAGAAAAAGTGTGAGGGATTAAGAGCCTGACTCGTGGCGATTTGTTCGGACCAAAATACCTCTGAATATCCACTCTTTTTGCAAAGATGTCCCTGCTCATATCACAGTTTTGTGTAATTACACAAATGTCACTTTGATAAAGTCAGTCTTTCATGCTCCCCTTATTCTCAGACATAGTGATTAGACAATTTCTGGCCTCCCCTTTAAAAAAGTTGGTCTTTCCTGCTCCCCTTATTTTCAGGCATTAGACAATTTCTTGCCCGAAAATCTGGAATGACATGTTGATTTTTTCAATTTTGGCCATTTTTCTCACCTGATTTCCTATCTAAAAGACAAAACCTCATTTTTCTCTGGATTGAAATACGAATACCCTTCTCCAACCCTCGCCCAATTTCATTCCCGAATTTACAACCCTTCAAAATTTGTGAAGACGGCGAAAATCCACAGACGATGTGCGTGAGCAGGGATACTCGGCGGCTTCTGGCATATGGCGGCGGCACGACCGCCGGCGGCTCAGACTTACGGAGATTTTCCTCTTGCCGCACCGTTCACTCGCGAGGGACTTCCGACATAACAGAATCCGACCGGGGCTCCAACTGAGATGGTGGCAAATGTCCCCGTTGAGAGGAACACCTAGGACCCCATGGACGTCGCGATCCCCTACCCCCTCTGGCTTCCACCCCAAATACGCAGTCGAATTCTGGATCTGGCTGGACTCGCGAGTTGTCAGTGTTGAGATCTATGAGGATCTCGTTACGTACAAGTCACGAATTCAATAGCAAACGTAAACCTATGCGCAGCGGATTTAAAGATTTGGCGTAGAGAACTTACGGCTTAAAATATATGTAGATCTGGTTGACCACGAACGGTTGACCGCAAATGATTGACCGCAAATCACGTCTTGAGTTGCACGAACAAGATCAGATCAAAACCGGATCAAACGGGTGCAAATAGATGAAGACGAATGTTGCAGTCTGGGATCTTCCGACGGCGCATACGGGCGCGTGTGACGTCAGACGGCGGCGATGGAAAGCTCTCGTCGGGACGGTCGTCTGGGTATGCTGTGCGCCTCAATCGGACCTTTGGTTAGTTCTGTAGGATAAAATATATTTTGTCTCGGTTTACCTACAGATCTTCTACTGTATTACTCAATACACCCTTCTTCAACTTGTATCAGTGGACCAACAAGAAGAACATAAAGCTCGAATAAGATCTAGAGAGAAAGACATGGGCGGCGTTATTCACGTGTGCATGAGATGTGTTCTCTTCTCATGAACTTTACAGTAGGGACCCTTAGGAGATTAGGAAAAGGGCTCCTTAATTAATTAGACTAACTGTGGGCCAAGCCCACTCCTCTAATTAATAAAATAATATTAATGGGCCACCAACATTATATTATTGCATTCCCTCTTTCTAGCCCAAATTACATTTGAGACTCCAATAATAATTACTCGATTTACCTCCCCACGTTTAAGATATAATGTCCATTAATTAATTCAATTACTGACAATCAAGAATTAATTAATTTATTATTATTTCACCGAAGCTAGCGTTCATTCATCACATTCTTATTGTGCCGGAACTTAATTCACCTGCAGAATTTAGCATAACAATCCTTCATGAACTCACTCCGGGGACATCATCAAACTAACGCACATGGTGACCGTAAATATCCTAACAGCACATCCTATATATAATAATATTACCCAAAACAGTAGGAATATTGATCGAGTGAACTGAACCTCACCCAAGTGAATTAAAGTAATATATACTATATATATCTGCCTGTTTAATATCTTATGGGTTAAGAGAACGCAGTAATTAACCGAGGCCTAGTTCATTTACGACGATCAGTATAAAATGAACTTCTCCTCTCTGGGATCCTGTTCAATACATAAATGTACTAGTGCAACTAATCAGTCAAGACAAACTGTACAGTTGACACTACAACCGTTCGGATGGGGTGTTCATGTCCATCTAGGTTGTGAACAACTATTCTTGTTCGTAAATGACTGATAGAGTGATCTTTGGTTCGCCCGATGACGACCCACCCTATCTAAGTGCAGAACAACAGAACGTAGAACTTGTTTAATCTAACACGATTCTCATTCATAAAGGGTAAATGTGTAATAACATGCAAAGCCAAGCTTTCAGTATATAACACTAACAATCTCCCACTTATACTTAAAGCTTTCGCTTTTACAGTATAGTCCTATCAATCTGTTATTCTAAAAGACCTATGTCGATCCTATTGCCATGCTCATGACTCCAATTCCTTCCACGTGTTTGACGAAGACCTTCCCCGACAAACTCTTCGTGAAAGGATCAGCTAGGTTGTCCTCTGACGCAATCTTGGCAACATCAACGTCTCATCTACCAACGATATCCCGAATCAGATGGTATTTGCGCTCTATGTGTTTGCTTGCCCTGTGGCTTGAGGTTCTTTTGAGATCGCTATTGCTCCACTGTTATCACAGTACACGGTGATACCACGTGGCAAACTCAGTATAACCACTAAGTCCACTAAGAAGTTCCTGAGCCAAAACTGCCTCTTTCGCTGCCTCTGAGGTTGCTATGTACTCGGCTTCCATGGTGGAGTCTGTCACGCATTTCTGCTTAGCACTCCTCCATGAAATGGCTCTACTTCCCTGTTAGTGTTATATACTGAAAGCTTGGCTTTGCATGATATTACACATTTACCCTTTATGAATGAGAATCATGTTAGATTAAACAAGTTCTACGTTCTGTTGTTCTGCACTTAGATAGGGTGGGTCGTCATCGGGCGAACCGAAGATCACTCTATCAGTCACTTGCGAACAAGAATAGTTGTTCACAACCTAGATGGACATGAACACCCCATCCGAACGGTTGTAGTGTCAACTGTACAGTTTGTCTTGACTGATTAGTTGCACTAGTACATTTATGTATTGAACAGGATCCCAGAGAGGAGAAGTTCATTTTATACTGATCGTCGTAAATGAACTAGGCCTCGGTTAATTACTGCGTTCTCTTAATCCGTAAGATATTAAACAGGCAGATATATATAATATATATTGCTTTGATTCACATGGGTGAGGTTCAGTTCGCTGGATTAATATTCCTACTGTTTTGGGTAATATTATTATATATAGAATGTGCTGTTAGGATATTTACGGTCACCATGTGCGTTAGTTTGATGATGTCCCCGGAGTGAGTTCATGAAGGATTGTTATGCTAAACCCTGCAGGTGGATTAAATTCCGACATAATAAGAATATGATGAACGAGCGCTAGCTTCGGTGAAATAATAATAAATTAATTAATTCTTGATTGTCAGTAATCGAAGTAATTAATGAACATTATATCTTGAACGTGGGAGGTAAATCGAGTAATTATTATTGGAGTCTCAAATGTAATTTGGGCTAGGGAAAGGGAGTGCAATAATATAATGTTGGTGGCCCATTAATATTATTTAATTAATTAGAGGAGTGAGTTTGGCCCACAGTTAGTCTAATTAATTAAGGAGCCCTTTTCCTAATCTCCTTAGGGTCCCTACTGTAGCTCTATATATACATCATTAAGCTCATGAGAAGAGAACAGAAGTCTCATTCTCACGTGAAACACGCCTCTCTTTCTAGATCTCATTCGAGCTTTATCTTCTTCTTTTTGCTCCACTGGTACAAGTTGAAGAAGGGTGTATTGAGTAATACAGTA